TCATCAATATCTGGTTACAACTTCCCTGGCCACATCTCTTAACCCCTCCACCTCTCTCTCTCTCTCTCTCTCGCCCTCTCTCTCTCTCGCCCTCTCTCTCTCTCGCCCTCTCTCTCTCTCTCTTCCTGCCCCTCTCTGCCCAGCCACCCACCTGCTGCGTGTGCGCATCCAAATAAAACCAATCATTTTGTGCAAAATGTCAAACACTGCGAATTCTCCCAAACCGATTCGTTGGCCCAGTGCAACTTGCATTTGGGTCAATGATGTTGTGCTTTCGTTTTTAATGGTTTTTGTTATGTTTTTTTGGTTTTTTTTTTGTGTATTTTTATGTGTTGTGCAACAATATTGCATATTGTATATGCACATATATGTTTCCTTGCAAATAAATAAATCAATAGAGCACTTTCCCGTCCCCCACTTCCGGCTCTCAAAGCGAACACGCGAGCGACTAATGAAATATGCCAGCAAAGCAAGCAACGCCCAGCAAACTAATATTGACAGGACAGCATGTCCCGAAATGGATCTGTTATGGTATTTTCGCCATGGCTATATGGATATTATAATCTTTCGGCCCTAATGCACTTGCATAGCATTCTTGCAACATTCACATACATATACACGTATATACATATATATATATGTATTTTGTGGCAACAGCCAAATACATTTGGCTTGCGGCAATCAACTTGAATATACAAACATAAATAAGAAAGTGCTCAGAAAGCACACTTGAAGCCACAAAAATCATGCGTCTCGTATTGGCCGTCCTCATGCCTGGCATATTATCAGAATATTTGAGCTAGCCAGCTAGCCAGCTAGCAAGCAGTTGGGGGAGCTGGAGCGTCAAGTGCTGGGCGTTTTGGCGACGGGTATCTGTTCTTGATTTGCCTCTCGTTGTCAGATTGATTTTCTCTATTATGGCTCAATGGCATGCCGTAGTTTACGTACTGCTCTCTGGTTGCATAAATATAAATTCCCAACAGCTCAAGCCACAAAATTCTTTTGTTCAGCAATTGAAGTGTACAATGCTTCCAATTGGTCATTGCACATAAGATTTTAATAGCATCGCTTGTCATGAGTCTCTGCCTCTGTCTCTGACAGCCAAATCATAAAAATCGAATATTTGCCAAGCAAGCATCCATCTTTTATCCGATCTAGTTGCAAAATTATGTAAAACTACTTGGTAGAAACTCTCGCATGCCTATATCACTAAATATTATTTAATATGGATACCTATAAATCAATTTTATTCGTTATTTCTTAGAGGATGTATCAACAATTACATATCAGTTGAATGTTCATCAACAGTCAACATGAGCTAACTGAGAGGAACAAAGCACTTAAGCATATTTATATTTATTTGTATTCAGATATGGTTAAGAATACTTTATTAGATTCTGTCAGTGTTATCTCCTGAGAATTTGGCAGTACAGCAATGTATCAAGCGAGGGTACCCTGGGGTCCTGGATCAACCGCAATGCAAATGCATGGCTTTACTTATGAATGAAGTAAACAATGCGTTCCACTCATGGGACATACATATTAAACCAAATTGCCTTACAATTATATTCGTATATCAACTCACTCCTCTGCGATCTTCGGGTGGAATTGGCTGAAGTGTTTGGTTTCATAGGCGACCCCATTATCTTTGAATGCAAGACTTCAGAAATCGCAGCGATATGCTTGAGTTACAGCCTCATTTTTCGTGTCCCCTGTGTGCCCATAAAAGCGTGCTTCAATTATTTTGCTTGGAAACAGCTCAGAGAGTGCAGCAACCTTTTGTTTTTTGTTTTTGATTTGTGTATCTTTAAGCACTAAAAATGTATTACGTGTTTAGGGTATTTGTGTATGCAATGCAGCTTAAACGTATCTCAATTATTATCAAGACCAAAACGCAATCGCAGTTTCGATTAAAATCGCAAAAGCATTCATGATTGTATTCAAAAGATAAAAGATTGAAGAAATCCGAGCAACGTCTCCCTTCCAGCAGAATGCTGAAAAAGGTCCAAAAGGTTGCGGCATACTTTGACATTTTGGCGCATGTTGAATCAAGTGAAAACCCAATTACATGTGCTCCCAATCTAGACGCTTTGCTGGCGACAAAACGAATTGTGTAGACAAGTTAACATGCTGGCCAACCCGACTGCAACATGCACCATGTAGCATGCACCACCAAGCATCTAACTTTTCCCTTCACCCACAGCGGCTGTTCTGATTATTACAACACAGCCAGTTGCAGGTAAGTGTGTCTGTGTGTGTGTGTGAGTGTGAGAGTGTGAGAGTATCTGCATCTGTAGTCGAGCGAGTGTATCTAACGGCTGTCAGTAAGTGGGTTGAATGTGGGTTGGGTGCTGTTTGATGTGCAAGCAAATTATTACTTAAGCGGCTTAAACTTGTTGAAGTGTTACCCGTTTTCGTTATTCGCTGTGGTTTTCGCTTTGTGGCTTCTAAATGATAAAGACATCACACAAGTACATAAATATATCGTATATATATAAATATATATATATATATAAATATATATAGTGAAGCAAAGTGAAAATTTAATTGGGCAATGTTTACGCTGCGCAAAACAGGCAGAAGGATGCCTATCTGACCCCACAGAGTAGATAAATGCTTGATCAGCATAACCAGTTGAGTCGATCTAGCCATGTCCATCTATTTAAACAATTTGAATAATAATAATAATAATAATTTTATGTAACTTGTCCATGTCCAGTGTCATAAACTCAAATTCAAATTGGGAAACACGACTTTAAGGATTTTTAATATGTAAACAAGAAACATGTTGCGAGTAAGGTATATCTTTAACTTTAGACACTTAAATCACTTATGACGACCAAACTGACTGACCATTGTGTACTACGTGCCATAAATTATTGTCGATACTCGTATTAATTCGCTTATGTCGTATTGAAACACAGGCAAAACAATGTCACAAATTTGAAATTATATATCGAACGTTCCTTAAGATGGCTTCCAAATGCCCAAAGTGGCAGAAAATTTTGATTAATGTCCTGTGTGGGTATTCTTACAACGTGCCAATATCGTGTGTGGTGACATGTCAGCATCATTAGCAGAACAATGCCACAGGCTAAAAGCCAACAAATTGTTTTTTTCCTCAGGAATAACAGGGAGGAGCAGCAAAGAGTTGCTGTTGTTGTAACAATAACAACAAAAGCAAGAAAATATAGCTAAACGAAACAATAACAACGACAACAAAAATAATAAAAATAATGATAATAATATCAGTAACAACCACATGAGCACCAGCAGCTGTTTTATTTACCACTGCTTTTGACCAGAAGAAGAATGTGGCACGTGCGCAATAAACTAGGACGCAATAAGAAAAACGAAGCGCCAGTTTACAATTAGGGGATCATGATGGATCGTGTTCGATCAGATATGATAATATGATCCAAATGTTTGATCGTACAGCCCGAATTGATGGACCCATTCAAACCAATGCCAATGGTGAAGAGGAAAATGGTCGCAAACAAACTTTCATGGCAAAAGCAGAGTCGCACGTAGCTGGTTTTGCGGACAGCAATGTACTCCAGAAAGGCGATTAATCATAGCATCGTAGTTCTTGTTGAGGAATCTGAATGAGAATTAGCTAATTATACAGTCATAGAACAGTTCGTCAATATGTAACCCAGCAGCTTGTAGCTCCAAGCGAACTCACCATGCCTTTCTTTGCTCGAACTGGGTCAGCTTACAATGACTCGTCTTCGATAACCATCTGGAAAACCATGACCACAGATCTCAGGGTAGCAGGGCCATTACATGGAAGCGGCTCAAAGGTTGGTATTTGTATATTAAATGCTATATTCAAGTAATGGTTTCTTAGTATACATTTTTGCATTTGGAAATGAGTTTGTTAATGGTATGAGTCATTTAAGATGGTTAAATTGAGTTTGAAACAGCGCGTCATCATTACAAACTTCCCTTCTGACACACACACACACACACATGGCTGCCTTTGTTGCGCCTATGATAATGCGATATCAAACTCTAAATCGGGTTGCCATCAAAAGACTTTACGCCACATTACCCTCAACGCGGAATCGTCCTTCCGAAAAATGGATTCGCTCTGCTTAACTCAAAAGCAAAGAGTTTCCATATTTTTTTCAATTTCTCCAGCTTCAATTATATTGCACATACTATTTGCATAGGCCACTGAGAAGACAGGAGAGAAACAAGCGTTAACAGCTAAGTGAAATAACCCTCTGCAGGAATGTAATCAACGAAGTTTGAAGAGAGGTAATTATGTATCTTATCCGTTGACTTAATCACACTTAACACAAAATCATTTATTGACTATTTAATTTGTTAGTTAATTTTTTTTTATGTGTTTCCTCTAACACGTTGAGTTGAGGTGTAAGCTCGATCTGTCTTTATTTCTTAAAATCTTAAAATAAGTTCAGGCTGAGTAAGCAAAAATACTGAGAAAATAAAAGATTAGTCCGCGTAAATACAAAGAATATAATGTGTGTGACTTTATTTATCTTTAAATTTCTATATTCTATATATATCTAATTACACGACCTTAAAATCATTTATTCTTTTGAAGCATTCAAGCATGCAAAATATGCTTACATGATTACCATCTACAAAACAGAAGGTGAATCCTCAAGGCGCAAGAAATCTCGAATTATGCGTTGGAGTATGTAAATATAATGATCTGGTGTACTTGATTACTAAAGGAATTGTCTGCAAGAGTGCACTTTGAATATTAAGCGTTCAGCCTCAAATTGAATGAGTGAGTTATGAATTCGAATTGAATTTGACAGAATACAACGCTATATTCTACATATTAGATATGTTTCCCCTTCTGCGCTCAGCATTTAAATTCATTCGAAATCTTTTATTTGGAACACTACTTTCTGCTCACATTTCATTTTGTTGTATTTTATTGGAGCTCACTTCTGCAAATCTCTATTTATATTTAAAAGTTTAGGTTGGCGCTGCACTTATCGAAATTTCAAGTGTATAAAATACTATATATACAATCAGAAATGTTTCGATTCGAAGAATTCAATTTATTCAATTGATTTGATAATGGCCACTGAGGAGAAACCAAATCTGTGCGGCCCTCGGCTAGGCGGCTCGGAGTTTTGGGTGGTGCATCAGGTAAGCAACGGAGAAACGATGGCGCACCTGGCCCTCAAATACGATACGACAATTGGGCAAATCTGTCGAGCCAATCGCATGCATTGGCAGGACATCTTGCAGATGCGACGCCACATTTGGCTGCCGGTTACTGTTGGCCGACAACAGGCGCCGGTGGAGACGAAAGATCAACTGCATAGTGAGTGGCTGGTAAAGAGAATGCCAGGCTTTCCAGATTATAATCAAGTGTCGGTTTTACCGCCGCATTTCTATCGCCAGAGCGCGCCCAATCTGGATGACTTTGCCGGCGAATGTGACCCGCTGCTGATTACCACTGCAATAGCGCATCCTGCATCTTGAAAGCTGGTGCAATTAGTTGGTGAACCCAGCTGCAGCTGCTCCTGGTAGACTTTGCAGCTTTGCAGCTGCGTCACATCCTGTCTGGGCTCGCTGCCTCCAGCTGCAGACGACCACAAAGTAAAAGCAAGCAAGTTTTATCCGCTCAGCGAAATTATGGGCGGATTTTCAATTATCATCACATTTTGTTGCAAGCGTGGGTCTTGCGAATATTGCTTACGATTTGGCAACGGACTGAGTCCTCAATGAGCTATTTGAGAAATCATAAAAATCTAAAATCTACATTTTCGGGTATTGTTCGCGAATTAAATGACAAAAAGAATGTCGATATATAAGGCTATAATGTTAATAATAATAATAATAATAATCTAAAAGGATATCTCAATTCGGTTAAGATGATAGTTCCATCGTTTACATTAAGTAAATTTCTTGCAATTTTTGTCGCACAGCGGAAATAAAAGAAAAACGCTAACAGCAGTCCCATTGGCAGGGTTCTTTTCACTCTCTCTCTCTCTCTCTCTCTCTCTCTCTCTCTGTGTATGTCTCCTTCTATGTCTCGCCCTGCTCCTCGCTATGGGCTACTTTCCAACGACCTCCTGTGAATGCCATCGCCTACCACTGCGTTGATTAGAAACCCCAAAGCGCTGCCAGCTGTCGTCGCTCGCTACAAAATTGGCTTTTAATTTCTGCAGAAGTAAATTTGCCACAAACAGGATGCAATTAAGACATTCAAATTCACGATTCGAGTGTGGCGCATTGTGTGACGCCACACGCGTTCGATGCGATGCAATGCGATGCCCTATCGAGCGTATGGGGCACGTGCAACGCCAGAGATAAGCATGCCGGCCACTGGCGGGGCACCGGTGTTGACCTCGGCACACACTCAAAGTAGAATATTAACTAATCTGTGTGCGGCACTTAAGCATAACGACGTTTGCAATGAAGCAATCCTGCCACTTTTCGGCAACACAGCCCCCAAACTTCCCACCCGCCAAAAAACATAAAAGGTACAGGTAAAAGTGCCTTAGCAGAAGATACCTGACTACGCAATTACCCTGTAGTCAGCCCAAAATACATACAATCATAGTGACTTACTTGTATACGCTTGAATGTAGAAAATAATACATGGCTTTGGCAATGAATATGCCTATTATTTGCTGTTGGTATCCAGTCGTTGTCTTAAGTTAAGTTCAGTTAAGAAATCAAATATCATAGTGGCTACACAAGAATTATCCAATTAGAAGGTGTTTGGTATATTTATTCTATTTTCAAGACAATTTTATTGATTAAAATTGATTGATCGGAACGGGGAAAAGTCGGCCTAAACATTCGGTTTTGGCCAATAGCTTATATGTATAACTTATATGTTACAAACATCTGGATAACTTCAAGATACCCTTGTTAAGCAATGCTAATGGGTATAGGGTATCAAAAGAAGTCGAATGAGAGGGGTCTAAAAAGGGCAACGCCGAGACTTATGCGTACGTGCTCGTGTGATAAATTCACATTTTCCGTCTGGCAGCCGAGCAGCAGGACAATCCGTGGCATTGATAGACACCAAGATGGACAAGGACGAGTGGCAGCGAGGGGGATTGGACGTGTGGCGGAATAGCAGAAGGATGGATGCTCAATGTAGGGTGGCGACCAGTGCAGGTAGAACAGCCGTCAAACGTAGCGGAACGCCGGTGTCAAAAAGGAAGTGCCAAAAAACGGAATACGGAAAAAAATGTCATAAGCGCAGACTGCGTTGGGCATGACGTAAACGACGTGAACGACAACGATGAGCACGAGGATGAGCCTCGCAATGGCAATGGGGTGTGCGGGGGGGAAGAATCAGAATGAGAATATGAGAATGAATACCATGGATGGTCACATTTTGTGCCTTTTTGACAGACACAACTTTGGAATTGCTCTGATTATGCTGGGGCAGCGGGGGCAACGTGGCCAACGGATGCGGGCCACAGCGGACTCAGCTCAATGGCATGTTGACAATGATAACGAAGTTGGCCCTGACTGCGTTTAGCATTCGGATAGCGGTATAAGGCTAGCCATGAGGGATGAGGGATGAAGGATGAGGGAAGGAGGATTTGTGTGTGCTGGCATCGAAAAATAATAGAAAAAAAGGCAAGAAAACACAAAACAGACTGAACAAAAATATCAAATGTCGCATGCCAACATTAATATTTCATGAGAAATCATAGTTTGGTGATGCGTATAATTCAAAGGAATTGCAATCTGAATTAATTTCAAATGCTTGGACCCATGAGCTCAGGTATTTCATACGCATCATTTTGACAATCTAGTCGGAAACTTGTTGCCAAAGTATTCAAGGCAGCTGTCAGGCTGTCCGGCTGTCGGGCAGTCCTTGTTGTTGTTGGCCACAAAGTTTTCAGTATTTTTGCATCATAAAACTTTGCCCCGGACAGGGCATCAAAATGAATGCGTATCGAATTTAATGCCTGTGCTGCCTGTGCAGCAGCTGCAGCACCAATCGATGGCCACAAAGTGCATTTTGCACATGTGGCATGTGGATTCAATTTTGTGCAGCATAAGCCAAGCTGCCCCTGCTGCTGTTACTGAAAAAGTTTTGCAAGTGAAACTCATTTATTTGCGTTATGCCGTGACGGTTGAACCATGTAATTATACACAGACAGGCTCGAATACCCTACCATATTCTGCAATCCCCTCTTTTGCTTTTTTACTTCCACCACTGTTTCTAATTCCTTTGCTGCTCGGGAGCCTTATGAAATATGACAGTTTTGCACACCATGGACAACTTTTGCACCGCCTTTCAAAGAGAAATTATTAGAAAGTTTTAAGCGAAAGCGAAAATCGGAGACACGCGTTTTCTTGCTGGATAAGTTGCCCATGAGATAAGTGCGAATTCGAAATTGTGAACAGCCTGACAAAGAGACCACCATAAGAGACAAAAGAGATAGAGAGAGAGAGAGAGAGAGAGAGAGAGAGAGAGGTATACTGCTAATATATATATATATATATATATATATTGAACATTTCGAAATTTGGTCGAGTTTTTGATTTATGTCGGTTGGCAAGCTGCCCGCTGCATATAGATAAAGAAAGCGATAGCAGTAAAGAGATTGAAAATATTAAGAATTAGCACCTAAGAAATGAATGCATGTATGTATAATCAAATGGTTAAAGACATTGTGGAAGACGCCATTTTGTTGTCTACCCAACAAATTTAAAGCTTAATGGTTACAATTGGGAACTTAAATGATCATTGAATTCAATGGTAGAGGCTCAAAATGCCGGCACGGTATGAGTTGTATTTAAAGTAATGTTGAGAATGTGAGATTCATTGAGACTCAGTCACTTATTCGTTAATTCGTTCGTTTTGTTTGCCGATGTATTCATTTACAAACTCGGACAATAGCCTGGACTTCGATTTCGCCGGTGTCTTAACAACTTACTTAATTGTTTCGCGATGGATAATCAATGGCCATCGGGCCCGGCCACCCACTGCGAATTGAGAAAGTGGCAATGGATGGACGGCAATTGTACAATAATTCCTACTTATTGCAGTGCAGATGCTACATGCAAGTAATTATAAATTGAATTAAAAGACACACATTGCAAGCGCCTTTTCCTGTTGCTTGAGCTTAATTAAAATTCATTACGTACCCATATACATACATACATACATACATACAGATATACATGTATATATAGTTTGCAGCGACGCAACAGAGGGTGTCTGAGGGTATCTGAGGGTATCTGAGAGTATCTGGCTACAGGGCGAGCAATATGTTTAAAATGCTGTAAAAATATTTGACAAGCAGCTTTACGAGCGGGCCGTAAAAATATTTTCCCAGTCGACTATGCAATGTGGCTGCTATCTCTCTCTCTCGGTCTCTCTCTCTCTCTCTCTCTCTCTCTCTCTCTATCTCTCTCTCTGCTCGCCACTCATGTCTATTAACTGCTCGAGCAACTAAAACTAATGCATGCATAGAGCATGCATACTTACAGCTAAGCCGGGGGTGGTAGTCGGTCGGTGTGTGTATATATGTGTGTGTGTGTGTATATGTGTGTGTGTGTGTGTGTGTGTGTGTGTGGCGAGAATGCAGAGGCAGTGTGAGACGGACGGTATGTGTGTTTGCATGCAAATGCATTTGCTAAGTCCCAAACAAAACAAAGGACGAGAAAATACTTACTAAATGCATCAAATACTAAAAACCAAATGAATTTTCTACTGGAGTATGATCGACTAAAGCATGATCATTGTGCGATTGAATATAAAATATTGTGTCGGGAGGATACTTGAGCTATATAACAGTCGTTATTGCATACATGCTGAACAATGAATTCATTTTTAAATTAACCTCGATCGGAAAGTATAAATGCTTTTTGCGCGAGCAAATACTTGCAGATTGTATATATGGATGAATATTAGGAATTGATCTTACTGGCAGATATGTAATATAAATGGATACACTTTCCGATAATATTCGTACTTTATTTATGGGTTATTTCAAAGCGTTACGAGCATTTTGAGCGAATTATAATAGCCAATGCCAAGGAGTATCGCATAAAAAATGCAAGCGCAACTTGTCGACTTGTATTGTTGTTGTCATTTCACAGCACCCTTTTTCATTTTGTTGTTGTTGTTTTTGCTGTAGCCGTACTTTATCGTTCAAGCATATATGAGTGTTGTGTGTTTGTTTGTCTACGTCTGTGTGGGTGTGTGGGTGTGTGGGTGTGCGTATGTATGTGAAGCACCCAACAAGCAGAGCCAAGCATAGCAAAGCATAGTTTTAAGCGCAAATCAAAATGATTGATGATGATGGCCGCCATGCAGCAAAACTCCAGCCCTAACAGTTATTCTGGGCGGCTGGTGGGAGCTGAGCTGAGCAGAGCTGAGCTGAGCAGAGCAGACTACAACAAACACTTGACAGTTATGGCTGCTGATATATAGCAAATAAACTAAATAAATCCCATTTTGTGTAATGTCATTTTTGTGCCATTTTA